TTTGGTCTGCGTTCAAACATTGATTGGGCTAGTCATTAGCATCCTAGCATTCTGCTTCGCTATCTGATACTATGTGAATGAGGTCAGTCCCGGTCCGGTCAGGATTTGTATCTAAGTCTTCCCTGCGCTATTCAGCACCATTTTGTATGTATTAGAATGCACATTGCTTGTTGAGATTCTACTTGCACTGCATTGTCCATTCAGTCCTTTTCATCACATTGCGGATCCTCGGTTTCTATGTACATTGGCCAACTGGGCATGTAACAGTTGGTATCGGAACGCTGCACGTGAATCAGGACAACCTGATCTGACACGTGTGCGGGGACTAGATAGCTGATTAGTCTTTATTGATTGATTAGAGCACACTAGTTAGACCCCAAAATCACGATTTTGACCTTACTGCCGAAAATCGATTTTTTTTTTTCTTATCTTGGATTTTGTTTTCTCGCTATTTCTGTTGTGGAAAATCGTAATAGCGCAACATCTGAAATTTCCATTTTCATTTTCCTTCCGAAATTTCGAAATTTCGTTGTTGAAAATCCAGAATATCCTTCTTTTCGAAAATTTCGATTTCCTGTTGCATTTCCCGTTACTTAAAGATTCGGAATATCTTCTTTTTTTAAATTCGTTTTTCTGAAAACGGTACGGGAAATCCCTCCTGCAGGTATTATTTTCCAAACTGCGAATACTCTCATCTGAGTAAGTCCGAATATTTCATTTCTTTTCGGAAAAAAAAAATTCGCAGTTCTAGGATTCTGTCAGTCAGTTCTATAAATCATTGCAGTCTGAAGTTGAAATTTTTTCTCATTAATCATTTCGCGCTTCAAGGGAGGTTGGGAGACCTACTGAACTTGCAAAACTCGAGACTTTTATTATTTCGAATTTTTTTTTGCAAAGTTCAAACTTTTCTTTTTTGATTAGTGGCTCCTTATCTGGGCGATTCTTCCCACCCACCCTCCCCACCTATGTTGTTGCTCCCTCTGGCCTTACCTTCTCTATCTATCTCCAGGTACCCCCTGCCACGGCATTGGTGAGTTGCCTTGTCAGCAGGCCACGTCAACGGATTACACGTCAGCAGGCCACGTCAGCCGCAGAGCAGGAATACCACGTTAGCAGGCCCCCACCCTGGTATATGCTGTTGTGGTCGCATACAGCCGTCATGGACCAGAGGTCTGGAGAAGCAAACGAGGCCTATCAGGCCCGGATGTTGGCTTGGAGAACCGAAACAAAGAAACGGGCGGATGACGCAGCAGCAGCAGCAAAGAAGAAGGCAGAGGACGCCGAGCAGGCACGTCTGCTGGCACTTGAACAACAGCGCCAGCATGACGAGGCAGCAGCAAGGGCGATTGATGAAGAAAGAAACCAACGTCATGAGAAGATATTTATCAGAGAGCATACTTTGCTCACAATTGCAGCGTAATGGCGGACCGAGGCTGAGAATGGCAAGTTGGAGGATTGCGGCAACAAGATCGCTTTCCTCCTCTTGCATCTCACAGACCTCCTGGGCCCTGGCAACCTGCATTACACAGCAGGAGGATATCCACAGCCCCGACAACTCGCTAGCTCAAGTCCACAGCCTCGACGGCTCGCTAGCTCAAGTCCAAGGCCGCCTTCAGCAGCTGGAGCAGCAACCTGTCGCCGCCCCCGATGCCAGCTCATCCAACACATCCGATCGCCTCGAAGCATTGGAGATGGACGTCGACTCCCTGAAGGATGGTGTGCAATTACAGCAGACCGCGACACAACAATTGGAACAGCGGATCTATACTACCGCCAACACCTCAAGTTCGGAACCGCGCGAGACAGCTTCAAAGTTTGACGGGCAGAAGATCTTCTGCGACTCAATGAAGACAGATCTGATTCCATGGTTTCGCAAGTTCGAGCTCACGCTGCAGCTACACAACATCAAAGAACACAAGCACCACGCATACTTGTACTCTCGCTGAGGGGGCGCGTGCCAGGCTTGGTTGGACAACCTCTAGTCCAAGTACGGAGTGGTAGCTGCCGACTTGCACACCAAGATCAGTTGGGATGATCTGAAGGCGGCGTGGCACAAGCGGTTCCAAGGCGAGCCGCAGGAGATCAAGGCTATGGACAAGCTCATGGTCTTCGAACAAGGCACGCTGCCGAGTACCGACTGGATCGCTGAGTACCAACGCTTGACGTCAGTTCSAGACATCCAGATGGGCTTCAAGGCCATCCGCCACTATTTCATCTCAAGGTCATGTCCGGCATTAAGCAATGCCCTGACTCACGTCGAGGACACCTTGACGACAACGGCGGAACTTTTTGACAAGGCCCCGCAGATCATTATTACACACAAGGAGGCTAAGAACCTGCGTTCATCTACGTCAGGCCCGAGCAGAGATCAGCATCGGCCAAGAGTGGTCGTGGTCGCGGTGGCAACTCCGTTTGACCAAATCAGCGAGGCTGTGCCTGCCAGTGAAGGGGACAGACTCCCAGCCGCCCGAGAAGGTGGCCTCCCCGGCAGAGGCCGAGGACGCGGCAAGACGAAGACACACACCGCATCTAGCCCCGGGCCCGGCGCAGCAGCTCCGGCCCCTTGGTCCCAATATAGCATCTCCGAGCAAGCATTCAAGGCGCGCACGAGATTCCACTATTGCCTATGGTGCAATAGTGATTTCCATCAAACATTGGCCTGCCCATTGAAAGGCAAGGGCAAACAGGGAAACTGAGCACCGAGTGACTCGACAACACTCTCGACGCCTCCGGAACCGGTTTCTTCGCGAATAACCGGCCTTCATTCTGAGGCGCACGCGGAAGTCGATAGTCCTCTTACTTATTCTTTTGAGGACTATGCTGCCCGGCTCGTTCCTACGCTGGGTACTCAAGCTCAAGGACAAGACGTGTGTGCGGTTTCTTCTCCGTCCGGCAGCGGCGACTTATCGTCTTCAAGTGGTTCTTCACAGGATTCGGTGCGCGAGTTCAACATAGAGGTATTGGACCCGCTCACGTCCGAGGACTTTGCATGGCTTCCTCTCCCGACCACAGGCCGCTTGCGGGGACCGCAATGCGCAGCACTATGCGCTCATCTCCACACTTACTTATCCTTCTATGCACCACCAACTTCGCCGACGGATGACGAAGTCGCGGTGGGGGACATCCTTGCGTATACTACCAAGGTGGCCCGCGAGTTTCACACGCAGTGGTACGATGACAACAACGCACCGCTCATGTATGTCCGCATCCAGGTTGGGCAAGCGTCCTGCAGCGCTTTGCTGGATAGCGGCGCGTCTCGCAATTTCATGAGCCAATCCTTTATGCAAAGGGCTGGCCTTGGCGCACAAGTTCGGAGGAAGGCAAACCCGACGGCGATCAAGTTGGCGGATGGGAAAACGCAACTTCTCGACCGATACATCGAGGCCGTACCGGTTTATTTCGCACCTCATGCATGCGAACCGGTCACGTTCGATATTCTCGACACGGACTTCGACATCATCCTGGGAATGCCTTGGCTTGCAAGTGCGGATCACACGGTCAACTTCCACCGGCGGACTCTTAGCGTTTGTGACGCCTTCGGCGCCGAAGTGGCGTGTACTATTCCTCTACCGCACCCTTCGATTCGGTGCCAAGTGGTGAAGGCCAAATCATTACGGGCGACTTGCGCTTACGAGCAGCCCGAGGAGATCGGCCTATGCTTCCTACGGACCGTCGCGGTAGCCGACGCTTCAGCCACGGACTTGTCTTCGGACTCCCGGGTGGTGCGGTTGCTGGACGAGTTCGCCGACATCTTCGAGTCACCTACCGGTGTGGTGCCGGATCGGCCGATCTCTCACGAGATCATTCTTGGGGCCGGTGCCGTGCCGCCAAAAGGTTGCATCTATCGGATGAGGGAGGAGGAGCTTGAGGTCTTTCGCGCACAACTCGACGATTTGTTGGCCAAGGGCTGGATCCGCCCTAGTAGCTCCCCATATGGAGCACCGGTTCTCTTCGCCAGGAAGAAGAACAAGGATCTACGATTGTGTATCGACTACCGCAAGCTCGACGCACAAACCGTCAAGAATGTGGGGCCTCTTCCGCGCATCGACGATCTTCTTGAGCGATTGGGCGGTGCAAAGTATTTTTCTAAGTTGGATTTGAAATCGGGATATCATCAAATATCGATCCGGCCGAACGATCGCTACAAATCCGCGTTCAAGACGCGGTACGGGCATTTTGAGTGGGTGGTCATGCCTTTTGGCCTCCCCAACGCCCCGACGGCCTTTCAAGTGGCAATGACCAACGAGTTCTGTGCAATATTGGACCGGTTCGTGTTGGTCTACTTAGACGATATTCTCGTCTATAGCCGGAGGTTGGAGGATCATCTTGGGCATCTTCGACGAGTGTTGGAGACTCTCCGCTGCGCCAAGTACAAGGCCAACCGCGACAAGTGCGAATTTTTCCGGCAAGAGCTGGAATACTTGGGCCATTTTGTCACACCGGAGGGCATCAGTCCGCTATCGGACAAGATTCAAGCCATCCAAGAGTGGCCGGAACCTCGGAACGTCACGGATGTCCGTTCGTTCCTTGGCCTTGCCCGCTACTACCAGTGTTTTATTAAAGGCTACTCGAAGATCGCGGCCCACTTGACCAAGTTTCAATGCGAGGATCGGCCGCTTGACTTCGGAGAGGAGGCGCGGGAATCATTTTTGGCTCTCAAAGCCGCGCTATTATCTGTGGAGGTCTTGCGCATTTACGACCCGCTTTTGCCTACGCGCCTCATCACGGATGCGTCCGGCTATGGCATTGGTGTCGTCCTCGAGCAACATGATGGTGTGGACTGGCACCCCGGTCGAGTACTTCAGCAAGAAAGTGCCCGTCGTGCATTCCATTGACAATGCACGCAAGGAGCTCCTCGTCTTTGTCCACGCGCTCAAGCAGTGGCGGCACTTCCTCCTTGGTCGAAGCCCATTTCGATGGGTAACGGACAACAATCCGTTGGTCTTCTATAAGACCCAAGACACCGTCAACAGCACCATCGCTCGATGGATGGCTTTCATCGACCAGTTCGACTTCTTTCCCGATCACATTCCCGGGAAGTCTAACCGTTTTGCGGATGCTCTTTCACGGCGTCCGGATCATTGTACCGTAGTCTACTCAACCTGCGGAACAGCTTCATCCGAGGCTACCAAGCCGACCCCGAGTTTTGTGACAAGTACGCGAATTGCTCCTCTCCTAATCCGGCGCCTTCTCACTACCGGATCCAAGAGGGGTACTTTCTTGTCCACACGCGGGGGAAGGACCTTCTTTGCGTACCGAGTGATCCTCACTTGCGTACACGACTTCTGGGCGAGTTCCACGATGCTCCCGCCACCGGACACTTTGGAGTCAATCGCACGATTGGCGAACTTCGCAAGCGATTTTGGTGGCCCGGCCTTCTCGGCGACGTCACTCGCTATTGCGAGTCATGCGAGGTTTGCCGACGCTGAAAATCCTGCAACCATCGTCCGTATGGGGAGTTACGACCATTACCGGTCCTGTTGCGGCGAAGGGAAGCGATTGCCATGGGCATTACAGGTCCGTTCCCCAAGCACAAGACCAGAGTGGATGGGATTCTCATGGTGGTCAACCGACTCACCAAGTTCGCCATGTTTTTGCCTTGTCGCTATCATGCCAAGGCACCGGAGTTGGTCGAGGTTCTCTACGCCGGTTGGATTTGAACCAAGGGTTACCCCAAGGAAATTGTCTGCAACCGCGACACTCGGTTCATGTCTGATTTTTGGTTGGCACTCATCAAGCAATGGGGCTCATCTCTCAAGCCCAGTTCAGCTCGCCACCCTCAGACCGATGGCCAAACGGAGAGGGCGCACCAGACCGCACAGATTCTCCTTCGCACTCTCATTCGTCCTGACCTGAAGGACTGGGTTGAGCGGCTGCCGGATGTCGAGTTGGCCTACAACTCTTCCATCCACCCAGCTGTTGGGATATCGCCTTTCGAGTTCGAGCACGGCTCGCCGGTCACTTCACCGTTGGACACTATTACTCCACGGACGGCCGAGAGCGACGACCATCCTCTTTTCTTGCGTCAGATGCAAGAGCTTCTTGTCAAGGCACGCGACCAGATGGCTAAGACGCAGCAGCGCATGAGCCAGCAGGCCAATCGCCAGCGTCTTCCTTGCCCATTCCGCGTCGGCGACCTCGTGTGGGTTTCCACAGCGGAATTCAGCCTTGAACAAGACATCTCTCGCAAGCTCCTCCCGAAATGGATGGGGCCTTGGCCGATCATGGCACCCGCTGGGGACGCACCTGAGGAACCTTCCTTCACGATTCAGGTGCCCGCCCACTTGCCCGTCTACCCAGTCTTTCATTGCTCCAAGTTGGCTGTTTACACGCCAGCGGAACATGACGATTTTCCCGGGAGATGTTCGCAAGACCCACCCTCCATGGATGGTTTTCAGGAGGTCGGCGACATCATCTCCCAGTGACGCTACGGCAACAGGCCAACCGAGTACTTAGTACATTTTGCATACTGCACACACCGAGCTGACCATTGGTTGACCCGTGCGGAACTTCAAGCAACAGCTCCAGCCGTTCTCGCACGCTACGAACGCAAGATGCAAGCCAAGCCGGTTTCTTCGGCTCCACACCGCGCCCGTGTCCAGGTTCCACCTTCAGATTGTCGGCTTCGCCCTCGCCCCGGCTTGACTTCATAAGGAGGGGGGGGTGTTACATGCTGCGCCTGCACACGAGGGCCATTTTCCAGGCCCTGCGTCCCTCAGGCTGAAAGCCTGAAATTCAGGCTAAAAGCCTGAAAACCAGGGCCTACAGGCCCCGTAACTGTTCAGCCCGAAAGCCTGAAAACAGGGGCCTACAGTCCCTGTGTCCCTTCAGACTAAAAATGGCAATAGCCTTTTTAGCCTGAAACGAAGGGCCATTTTCGGTCGTTCATCAGAACAACCAGCCTGAAACTCAGGCACCGGACCAGGGTTTCGGGAACAAGCTATTCTTAGCCTGTTCCCCACGCCAGCCTCACCAGCTGCTGCAGCCAGCCCCTGGCACACTTTGGCATTGGCAAGAGCAGCCTCCTCGGCCTGGCTCGCCCTTCAGGCAGTCAGGAGGCAGGC